TTCGAACCAAGTCAAGGGATGATCCAACAGTTCACAACGCAGACTTGGAGAGAGAGCAGACAGGGATCCCACACATTCAGCTTGATTGGATGTTTCTTGGACAGCAGTGCCCTTCATTGGTGATGATCGATTCAGATACAAGGTACGGTGCTGTTTGTCCTACGAGGTCAAAAGGTGTTTGGCGATTACACGAACGAGGTTTGTTTCGTGATGGACTCAGAGCCTGCGACATTAGGACTTCTTGACATGATTGTTGCTGTGAGACAAGAGATGGGTTTCAAAGCAAGCAAGCAGCACGGCAAACCATACCACAAGGGAAGAACAGCAAAAGTTGAACGGTATATACAAACTGTCAAACGACAAGCAAGTTCATTGATGGTGAGTGTTGAAGACAAGATTCATGAGACATTGCCAGAACACCATAGTCTTCGAGCTTGGGCGCTTACGCACAGTGTGTTTTTGCTGAACAGGTTCCATGAGCATTCAGGCATTCGAGCAACAGCCTACGAGACAGTGTTTGGCAAGAAATACAGTGGCAAGTTGATTCCATTTGGTGAATTCGTGTTTGGACTCAAGAAGCCTTCCAAGAAATCAGGTATGAATATATGGCTCGGAGGAATTTGGGTTGGCAAAGAGTCTACAAGTGACATGAATGTTGTGGTCACAGCAAATGGTCGATTTACAACTCGTTCAGTGCGACGATGTGCCAACGCTTGGAGAAAGGATGTGATTTTGTCAATTTGCATTCACCATGGAGCAAGAACAAAGCAGACAAAGTTCCAGGCATGCTGGAAGCACCCCTGCCTGTGATTGAGGAGAAGAGTGATCCAACAGAACCAGAACCAAGACAACCCGTCTTGCTTCCTTCAGGAGATGTAGATGAAGAAGCTGAGTTAGTTTTTGGAGCTGATGATTATGCCCCAACAGAAGCAAGTCCCGTTGGAACACCTACACAACAGTCACAACAACAACAACAACCATTGGTACAAGATGAGTTGAGCAGGTTGTCAGAAGATCAAAGACGAAATTTGTTGGATTTGCCCGTACAAATGCAGCCAGAAGCAACAATGGAGGACGCCCCAGCTGGCGAGAAGAGAGAAGCTGCAGATGAAGAACCTCAAGAAAGAAAGTCAGCGCGATTAGACCGTGAAGGCAGTCCCAGTTCCTCTCAACTGTATGCACCATTTTTCGCTGGAAAGGTGGAGCTTCAGTTCCAACAACTACACGATGATGAATGTTGGGAGGAAGATATGGATTGGGAGATGGTGGAGTTTGACATCGACGAGATTCCCACTGATTACAAAGGCGAGCAACCGCCGGAGCTTCTGCCAGAAGACCTTGAACAGCTAGATGGAGAAGCCATGAAGACAGAAGTTGACAAGCTTTCGAAACTTGGGGTAGTGAAGGTGTTGTTAGAAGAAGAACGAGATCCCAATGGCAAGTTTGTTGACCTTCGTGAAGTGTTTGATTGGAGGAAACGAGATGGTCAATGGAGAAGGCGGTGCAGGATTGTTGCCAGGGATTTCAAAACAGGTCCTTCCAATGAGGATACATTCAGTCCCACATCGCCATATGGCGTCATTCGATTTTTCTTGATGTGCCATTTGATCTATGGATGGAAGATCACATGTCTTGATATCAGTGACGCATATCTTACAGTCCCACAGGTTGAAACATGCTATGTGGCAACTCGTCCTTGGATTCAGAAGTTGTTGAGTCTTCCTTCAAATGCATTGTGGGAACTCAAGAGAGTTTTGCCAGGCCAACGGAACGGCGCGCAACGGTGGTTCAATGCTTTCAGTGAGAAGTTGAGACAACTTGGGTTTGTGCAGTGTCAAGCTGTGCCTTCGGTACTACGACACGAGCGCAAGAAGATTGTCATCAATGTTCATGTTGATGATGAATTGATTGCAAGTGAGACCACCGAAGATGCACTATGGTTGATCCGAGAGTTGAAAAGATTTTACAAGTTGCAGATCGAAGGACCATACCCAGTTCAGAAACTTGGAAATGGAGAAGAAGTTACCTATCTCAAGAAGAGTTACCTTTTCGCAGAAAGTGGACTCTACGTCAGACCGAATTCCAAGTATATTGAAAGTCTATTGGCCTTATACGATTTGCGCGGGAGGAAAGAAAAACAGGTGCCAGACCATAGCCTTTTGTGTCAGGTTGATGCATCAGAGGATTTGGATGGACCGAGACAAGCAAAGTTTCGTAGTGGGCTGGGCATTGCAATGTACCTTGCACATGACAGGGTTGACATTCAATTTTGTGTCAAAACGCTTGCATCATGGATGAAATCACCAACAGTACAAGCAGAGAAAGCGTTGATTCAGTTGATCCTATACCTGTCAGGTACAAGAGATTTTGCTTTTCACATGCCATACAGTCAGGTTGGTACAAAGATGGTGTACAAGCTGCACAGTGTCGATGAGTACCCAGAGTCAGAGATTCATTGCATGGAGGTGTACTGTGACTCAGATTGGGCCGGTGGTCCGAAGCGGCGGTCAACTACATCGGTGATGATTTTGATGAATGGTTTACTCTGTTTATCATTCAGCCGCACGCAGAAGAGCACAGCACTGTCATCCTGTGAAGCTGAGGTACTAGCTATGACAGCAGGAGCAAGTGAAGCATTGCTTGTGAAAGCAGTTTGGACATTTATGGTACAACAAAGGTGTGAAGTTGAAATGAGGTCAGACAGCAGTTCAGGTCGACAGTGGTTGCAACGAACAGGGCTAGGACGACTCAAACATGTTGACGTGAGACTATGTTGGTTGCAGTCGGCATTGAAACAGAGAACATTGGATGTTTTGCCAATAGGGACAAAGTTGAATTTGGCAGACCTCAACACCAAGAAGCTAAGCCAGGCACGTCGACAATTCCTTTTGTATTTTCTTGGAGTTGTGAGATTGAATGATGAAGGAAAGGTGAAAGAGAGAGTTGGAGAACAGGAATACTTGGATTCTTTGGCATCCGAGATGTGGAAACAACAAATCCAAAACGTCGCGAGATGGAGCAAGAACAGAACACACAAGTTGGTACAATGTGCGATGATGTTGCAAGCAATTTCATTGAAAGGTTGTGGAGAACAAGATGCACCAGAATCTGCTGAACAGAGCGGTGACCACCAAGTGGTATATACACTGGTCATTTTGATGACCCTGGGTGTTTGCAATTATTTGTGCACACATTGGAATGATTTCCAGAGGCTTCGAGAAAGGCTGGGCAGGAAAAGAAACCGAGAAGGCTACGGCAGGTGGTTTGACAATTGGCGATGAGTTGAGCATTGGAGCAAATGAACAGGCAAGTTCGAGCGAGGGGCCGGTGCCACCAAAGCATCCGCCGCCTCTTGGGCCTCCACCCCGAGCTCCAGTGTTTTCCCCCATTCCGGTGGATCCGCCACCGAGATGGGAACCATGGTCACCAGAGTGGTTCCTATATTGGATGCTTGGAAGAGTTGAAGATCGCATCAGGCGAAGAGGACAAAGAATGGATCATGATTGGCAACGAAGATACTACCACAGACAACAAATTCTTCAAATGCAGTTGGGCATTTTGGAACAAAATCACAGTGAGGGAGTTCGAGGACGAGCTCATATGATGTGTCGGGGGATGACAGACCTATCACCCAACAGCCAAAGTGACCCAGGTCCAGAGATCGAGGAGGAAAATGAGCCGGAAGCTGAAGGTGGTGGTGGTGAAGGTGAAAGTATAGATACCTATGTCTATACGACTGGAACAGCAATGGATATCGAATGAGACAGCATGTTGATGAGCAAGATGGTTACTTCACTTCAAGCACACTACCAGGTAGAAGTTTACCAGCAGGTACAACGCAGACAGCACAAGAAGACGACCGTGAACCAGAGAGTGACAACAACAGTGATGATGAAGAAACAGCGTCCCAAATGAGACGCAGGTATTTACAGTCCAGTTTGGATGAAGTGAGTGATCCCGAATATTGGCAACAGCTACATCATTTTGATAGCGAGCCAGAATCAAGTGGAGACGATAATACAAATCATTGAATTTGAATGTGGTATGCATGTTTGTTGGAGTGTTCTATGAAACCATCTGAACCATAGACACTCAAAGGATGTGGGTACCGTGCAACAGCTGAACCACGGTACAATACGACAATGGACAACGACAGAATTCATTTTACAAAGCAAATTTTCAGTTTTGGTGAGCGTGGATGGGCACGTGAAACCAACTGAACCACGTGTCTATAGCAAAGATTGGTGAAATTCTTCATAGGAATGGCATGTCTATGCCGGAACGGGGTGTATCAATGATACACAAGTTCATAGAAGTGGGAGACCTTTTCAGTGCTGCCATGACGTGGCAGATCCCACAAATAGACAGTGTACAAAAAGGAGACGATGTCTGAACTCAAAACGTTAGACATCGAGGCTGGGTGTTAACCTTTTTGATGGTTTAGGCACAGACATGTACAGTCAAGTTGATGCACTGTTTGCTAGTTGAAAACTACTCCGCTACCGAAGCGCGTGGATCAAAACAGGCGTGCTACCAAACAGAAACCCTTGGAGTCACAGGGAATCCTTCGATTTTGACTTCTCACTGGAATTTTGGTTTGTTGTTTTTCGGTTTTACTTTGTTTTATTTGTGTTTGCCGCTTTGTTTCTTGTGGGCCTCCAAACCTGTAGCGTGGGCCTCCAACCTTGTGGTGATGGCCTCCACCCACTAGTGATGCCCTCCAACCTTGAATGTTTTGCAGTTGTATGTTACCAACCTACTAGCGATGACTACTAGCCTAATTGTGATATCCACCTAAACTGCTTGCGATGCTCTAACCTAGATGCAATGGCCTCCAACCACTTTGTCTACCCTGGTGCCTTAGGTTTTTACTTAGGCCGGCGTGTGGCAAACCGCCCATCATGTCGGTACGGAATATCTCGAGTGTATGTGAATGTGTTTGTGCGAGTGTGGCTGGGTGGGGCCGGCATTCCGAAGCATGCTGTTTTGCTGATCTCAAGGATGTGCTCCGGGTCTTCTCCTTGACAGTCCCCAAGACAGAGGTTGACTGTGAGGTCTGTGTAGACGAGAAGCGCTTTATGGTGCCCGTGCCGACAGAGGGCGGTTTCCCAGGTGCTCGGTTTGTTTGATGTCTCTGGTCGATTGAGTCTCATGAGCAAGTACGCTCGCAGAATCTGCCAAGATTCTTAGCACAGTTTACTGTGACCTTTCAGAACATCTCCTCAACAACCACACGCTGCCAAATTTACAAGTGAAAGAACCCTAGACTAGGAATTCATGGCTTTGGGCGTCCCATCCTTCGTGCTCGCCACGAGAAACTCCAGGCAGTGCCAGCCGATCTGTGGAAGCTGTTCCAGCCCAAATGCCTGCGCCCTTGATGCAGGGAATGAGTGAGTTGGGTTGCACTACCAGAAAGTGCATCCTCGGGTTCTACTTTGTTTTGCTCACTGAATGAACCCACTTTCCTTGCTGTTTGAGTGGATTCTTGCCATATCTTTGCCATAGATGAATTCCTGTTTTTCCCAGGGCTGTCAATTCAACCCCTCTTCCTTTGACTGTTGAAGACCGCGAATCGCTTTGGGTGGACGCTGATGAGGAGTATGCAAACAGAAGGACAAATATCAACCTGGCACGGGCTTTCTAAATTCACTTGCATGTTGTTGAACTGAGAGCAACATCAGTCAGTTGGATAAAGCCTGGAATGTGAAAGAAGTCCTCAAAAGAAGCCACTGCCAGCCATCAAGACCTCCGAATCCGACAGACCTCAAAAAACAATAGTTAGTTCTGGCTTGTTGGTTGGATGCGAACCTTCATGTATTTGCTTCATTTCTTGACTTTTTGAGTAGTGTTGCCGCCAAGCGTCATCACCTGCATTCACCGACGCACCGACGCAGCTTTTTCAGATGCACCGCTCCCCGAGCGCCGCTCGAGGCCGGTCCCATGGTAGCGGTTCCCCTCCGCTTCTTAGCCTGGGCTCGCAGCGGCGACAAGGGGCACCTTGGTGTGACGTGTGCCATAGAGGGCCACGCAAGGCCGACGCAAGGGGTGGAGAGCAGGGCTTTGTTTGGGAAAGAGAAAGTCGCTGAAGGTCACTGGGAACTCGTGGCAAAAGGACCTATTGTTAAACTAAATCCAATGATAAGTCTCCTGCCTTTGTATTCTTTGCTGAGGCTTTGGACTCCGAAGCAGAGAGAAAACGTTGAAATGTCATTGAGTGCTGGGGCTGGTCAAGTTGTGGGGGGCATTCTGTGGGCTAATGCTTTGCGTTGTTTTCAACAGACTAAGACACTGCGCTTGAAAAGCTAAGGAGATGTCGAAATCCTTTTGTGGGTGTTTCAAGGGGCGAGCTCGAAGGCCCAAACAGCCAAACAGCCTGCAAACCCCACAGACCTTGCAGTCTGTGGGACTCTGGAGGCTTCGCTTGGGAATGAAGGGATGGCCAGAAGTGAAGCGACCAATCTAAGGAACATGGCCAATGTGGGGCTTATTGCAAGGACTGCATTGTGCCAGCTGGTTTTCGATTGGATGAGCGGTCAAATATGCCCCTATCAAGCGCCTGCATTTGCTTCAGGAAGCCAGAGTACTTGCCCATATTGAGACACCAGGCGGCGGGTTTGCGAATGCTTTTAGAACCGTGACACTGCCACCACAATACTTACGTTGACAGTTGACTCTGCGGTAGCAGCTAGAACACGTTTGTTTTGTTGGTACGAGCTTGTTTTGCTGTGGACTATATACTGGTCTTTAGTTGTTTAGGAAGGTCACAACCGTCACAGCCTGAGTACCTGAACTGCAGGTCACTACAGAGCGGGTGAAGGCTTACTTCTCCAGACGAGTGGAAGGAGACTGCCAACGGTTTGACCTTCCAGGTGCATGCGCTTTGAGTTTGTCAAAAAGACATGGTCGGGTGGATTTTCAGACGTCAGAGATTGTGATTCACTGCAAGAGAGGTATAGGCACGGCATAGGTGTGGGACTGACCTCCAGGCGTTCTGCGCACAGAAAGAGATGAGTCTTATGACCTCAGGTTGAGGAAGAGTTGGTTACAGAGATGGTTTGGAGAACATCATATTCACATCGCCTCATTTGTCTCACAAAACAAGTTAATTTCCTTCACCTTTGGTGACCGTTTGTTGAGCTCTGCAGTCCCGTCCCCCACTGCGTCGTCTCCGGCAGCCAGGGATCGGTGCAATGAATTTCGTCATGGAGGCCGGGGTGCTGAGGATTGATGGAACATGAGGAACCTGACACAGAGACCGACCAAAGAGGACATCATGTTTGCGATCTCTATTGATGCGTGGAGAATGTTCCTTTAGAGGTGAATTTGAGAGACTGACACAAACTGCACTGTGATTTGCTTGCGCTTCACTGCAGGCTGCGCTGGGGGGCGGTGGTATGTGCTCACTACACAGCGATCCCCTCGCAAAGACCTTTGGTCAAATCTTGCTCCTCATGATCCCAGGCGGAAAAGGATCGCCACGAGACGAGATGTTTGTTGTCCAAGCAAGACTACCCTGTGAACGAAAGGCACCAAGATTTGGATTGTGAGAGCAGTGGAACATGGCTAACGGGTAGCGCAACTTTTGGCTTCGCGGACCCAGTTTCAACTCCCGTGCACCATGTTTCTCTCCCATGCTGTGTGGAACTGAGGAAGGTGGATGTACCAGCAGCTTGGAAGCTACACGAGCAGGGGCCAGTTGGGCCTCTGGCACGACTTTAAAATACTGTAGCTCAGCTCCATTTGGGTGTGTGCGTTTGGCACCCCTGACAGATGCCGCTGATCCAGCCAAAGAGCTTGGCTTGCTCCAAGACACAGTGGAGCGTTGGCGCGTTTGAATCGTTGGAGCTTCAAGGAGGTTCCGCTTTGGCGCAGGTGGAGGTGTTCAAGGTGTTTAACTGGTACTCGACCAGCTTGAGCAAAACCTGGAAGTCTTGGAAACTCAAAAAACGAACTCTCACGACTCACGGCAGATCGACACGTGACAGCTAGAGGGTAAGGGCTTTTGTAGGTATCCTTGACACCAAATCAGTTATGTTGTTGGATTCTCTTTGCAACGGCAAATCAGCAAACCTAAACTGGAGGAATCAGGCCCGATGTCACTGCTGAACGCCCGAGGGGCCTGCGCGTGGAAACTCCCTTGGCCAGTTCTGAAAAAAGACGTCGAATGCTTTTGAGGCTTTTAGGATCTCTGAGGTGTTTGGGAGTCTAAAACAGGTGCACTTTGTGTATATTATTAATTGTCCCGATGATAAAGACACCACGATCACCTTCAAAGCGCAAATAGAGAAGACCTTGGGCTTTTCTATTTTCAAAGGTCATTTCAAACCTTTGCATACTGGGCTGCTCTATTTCCAGATTTTGGTTGTGCACCGGCCTGCTTGGTGTGGTACGTGCATGCAGCACTGTTCAGCCAAGGTCACTGGGAGCTTTCTACTGGACGTTTGTGGCAAAAAGAAACGTCGAGCAAATAGACGCTGTTGAAGAGTTGGGACTGAAGGATTTAGATTTTCCAACACTTTGATTCTGTCCAACCCACGAGATCATTTTGTGTTATTTTTTCTTAGAAGCATCCAGGTCTTTTGGACAATCATGGGAAGAACATATGAGGTCCGTTCATCTCCCAGTTGCCGAGGGGCCGCTGGCTAGAAGTTTTGTAACATGCGCGAAAAACATTTGTGTTTGTTCTTGATGAAGTGTGTTCTTTAAACCCAAGATTTTTGCTGGCCTTTCGCGGACATTTTCCAGTCCAGATGGCTTGATAGAGCCCCGGGGGGGCAAGAAGTTAATTGCTTGTCGGGTGCCAAGAATCTTGCTGGTAGATTCTTTTGGACGAGGTATTTTCTTCCTTTGGACTCGAAAGGGCGCTTTTCAGATCAAATCAAATGTAGATGCTGCAGACATGTTGAAATGTGTTGATTGAATTTCACAGATGAACATGTCCTCTTTGGGGTCTCATCTGATCTGTTTGGCAACCCAAACGCTGAACGTCGGGCAGATTCAACATGTAGACGTGACAGGAAGGTACATTTTGAATGGAATGCTTGCTAAAGGCAAACTATGATGCACTCTTTTAGGGCAGCTGCATTTCGTGCATCAGAAAAACCAATGTCCGAATGTTTAAATATGCTTAATTTTTGAGGACCCTCAGCAACCCGTGCACTTGATTGAGGCCGGCTGAAGCATGGAGGTCCTTCCGGACATTGCCAGCGTCAAGGTGGGATCGACTGGGAGCACATTGGTCCGTTAATTGGTGGTTTTCTGAACCGATCGTTGTTTCGGGAAAGGAGCCACGATGCGAAGGTTCCTCCTTGCAACCACTTGAATCAACTGACAGGACTTTCGATTCTTGACACGATACAGCAGGTGGAGCTTGTTTGAGTGACGGTCCTTTAGAAAACACGATGGTTGGTTCAAAGGACTGTGAGCACTTCTATTTCGACCAACGCACAAGGGTTGAGGAGCAACGGAGAACACTCTCGAACTTGGGTAGGCGTCAACATCCCAGTTCAGGAGGGTGACCCTTTGGTGTGGTAACCATTGAATTAGTTTTTCCTCATATATATACAGATACGAGTCCTTGTTTGCTTATGTAATTATTATGTTCATTGTAGCCGCTTTGTTGCATTTCAATCACCTTTGGAGTGACCAGAAATGGGTGTACACCGCTGTTCCACTGCCGAGGAGTATGCGTTTCCAATTGCTGGCATGCTCCTTGGTTTCCTCCTCAGCTCAAACACAGGAAAGTGCGAGTTCAGCCGCTTGCTCTACTAATGGCTGACAAAGAAGCCTGTGCCACTTTTACCACTCTCACTCTCAGAATTGCTTTTACCCTTCTTCCCTTCTTCTTGGTGGCACACCTCACTGTCCTCACTCTCAGAATTTCGCCTTGCCCCTCTCCCCAGTGCTCTCCGACCAACTCGATTGGGCTGAGTCCTCTACCCTGCGGCCCTGATGGCCTGGACGGTGATTGAAGGCAGGTCGGCTCCCTATTCCAAGGCCAGAGTGACGCGGGGTGAAGCCGGGTGAGCGGTGTGTGTGTGTGTGTGTGCTTACCTGTTTTTTGGGTCCCTTTTTGTATGCTTGTTAATGCTCATATTTTTTTTATATGTACTATATGTACTGTAACATGTACTAATAACAACAATATAAATACTCGTACCAATATATAACAACAATAGTTATATAATGTTATGAAGTATTTTAGGTCGTTTGCCGATGTTTCACACCTTACTTGTCGGCTGGGCGGCTCAACATGGTTTTTGCATGCTTCAGAAGTCAGATCATACCACACTTGCAAAACACACCGGACATAAAACATCCACTTTGTAGTCAATACGTGCCTTATTTAGCAGTGGAAAAATTGTCGTTTGACTGTGGTGAATAACCACCACAGGTGGTAAGGAGTCATCTCTGGACCTCAGGGTGGTGCCATGACATAGAGGAACTTCGATCAAACGATCCAATAAACCCTAGGTCAACTGACTGCTCGTATGCTTATTCCTCACATGACATGCCATTTGGATGCTGCCAAGTGCCACAAGAGTCATGTTGAGCAGTGTCTGAGATGGATCTCCATTTGTCCACTAGTTGTGCAGGAGCAGGAAGAGCAGCGCAACTCGTCCTGCAAAGCAGCAAATTGGGCAAGAGCGTCTAGAGATGTTGGTCCTTGGAACACCTTATGAGCGATTCGATGGACCACCTGGTGACCACATCTCCGGTGGTGACACTCCGCAGACAAACCTTTCAAGGTTGAGGAAAAGCATGTGATCCCCACTCCGACATGACTTGGATACTCAAACCGCTGATTATGACTCTGAGGACGCCATGAAAAGGAGGACCTCGCGAAGCCGGAGAAAAAGCCGTGCGGGGAAGGAGACACCGTGGGTTTGCACTGCTGCAGATGGATGGTGGAAGAATGGTGAGACTCAAAATGTGCCAAGCCGCAAAAGCTGCAACCCGATTCACAGCTTCTCATCAGCCTGCGCGCAGCGTCCTTTCTATCCACAGGCTGACAGAGTTTTTAGAAACACAGGGCACATGTCCCAAAGACCAACGATGGACACATTGACAGTGACATATCATATCGCTATTATATGTATATTATATACTGTACATATATATGTATATACACACTGCACACATATGACACTACAACCGTGACTCAATGGCGCCTCTCAAGCTCTAGGTATATGTGGGGGGCTGCCGTGCTTGAAGCTCTTGCTACTTTCTCCTCCCTTTCCTCCACCTTGGCCTGTCCTGCCCACTGTCACTCTTCGATCTTCTTGCCACTCATTGCAGGCCTCTCCATAGGTCTGGTTCTTGGCATTGCTCTTGGTCTTTGGGCCTCTTGGATTCTTCTTCGATTCCACTCTCAGGCCCTGCATTCCCAACCTCCGGTGGTGGACGACAGGGTCAGGAGGAGGACCCCGAATAGATTGCAAGGCTATTTGCATGAGTGAGCAAGAATCACTACGCCGTGACCTTCGTGACCTGGCCGCGGCTGTTCGTGAGTTGACATTGACCATTAGGAGCCGAGAGCTCTCAGGGGTGGAAGTGCGAGAAGATATCGCTGAGCCAGCTAGGGCATCCTCTACCATTTCAGGTGGTTCCCATTGGGAGTTGGTTGAGAACGGCAAGGCCATTCCAGGGGCACCTGCCGGCTTTTTGGTGAGAGACGCTCTCTTTAGTTTTGAGGAAGGGCCTCCTGAGGTTCCACAATTCTGTGTTGACTCTGCCAAACGTCATTTGACCTCGGCGCGTGCAGATCCTGAAGAGAGAGCAAGGGCAGCTTTCGGCGCTGGCCATTGGGCCCGTGCTTTTTGGGTTTCAAGAGCCCCATACAGGAGCACCTATCGTCCAGATCTCCCAGCGGCTTTTTGGATCTTGCAGAAGGGCCCAGGATTTGATCTAGTGAGGACTACCAGCCAGCGAGACTCAGATCTTTTTGAGCGAGAGTTTCCTGAGGTGAAGTTCATTGAGAAGGTGCCTTCATTGACTGAGCTCCACATTTTCTGTGCGGGCGCCAAGGTCCCAGTTCCGCCCTTGTGGCGATGGACCGGCAGCAAATAGTTTTCGCTTCAGACGCTTCAGATCCATCCCTGCTCATTTTGTCAGTTCCTTCATCGCACAGTTCGACAGGGGATGAGATCCAAGCATTTTGCACACCACTTGATGCACGTAGGGGTGGCCTTCTCCTGGCACTTCCCTGTGGTTTGCTCAGAGAGGACGTTCTTCATCCTCCTGGTGGATTCACAGAGGAAGATTTGGTGGGGCCCTCAAATGAATTCGAGGTTGACATGGTAGAGGAGGATGAACTTGGGAATGCTTTTGCTTCTGGTTTCAAAGGTTCCATCCTCGTGGCAGATTTCACGAATAGCGCCCTTGGGCTTTTGAGAGAGTATGATCCCGTGACGGACTCCACGACAGAGATTGTTTCTTTTGTGGATGGCACACCATCTGCGATGCCTTCTGCTCCTGAGCTGCTTGCGTTGGCTTTGTCCTGGGCGCACTCTGCAGATGGCAGAATCCATTTTTACAGTGCTCGAGAAGAGCCGCCAACATCCAAACCCGCCGCTCCGAAGAAGGCTGGTGTCAAAAGAGTGACCACAGCAATCCTGGCCGAGCAGCTCAATGCACTCTCAGCTCAGGTAGCTCTTTTGGCTTCAGAGAGGGAAGAACAACAAAACAAGCAGCCGGTCCCTCCTCTCCCCACCAGACCGCAGGCCTTTGTCGATCCTGCTACAGGGCGAGGAGATTTGGGACCAGCCGTTGCTCAGCACAAAATGCCCCCTCTTTCACAGGGTCTTGCCACTCCAGCCAGAACCACCCCGGCCAAAGCCCTCCAGCTGTTGGGCCCCCCTCCAAAGACCAGGATGTCTCCCCTTTCCATGGCATCCCCAGTGTTGGCAGACGAGCCCCGG